CCTAAACAGTGGCATGAGAAGTTTGAAAGAACTTTAATAGCTGCAGGCTTTGTTGTAAACGAAGCTGACAAATGTGTGTACTATCGCCATGGTGGGGGCGAGGGAGTTATCCTTTGCTTGTATGTTGACGACATACTAATTTTTGGAACAAATCTGAATGTTATTAAGGAGGTCAAGAATTTTCTATCTCGTTGTTTTGAGATGAAGGATTTAGGAGTGGCTGATGTCATTCTGAACATCAAGTTGTTGAGAGACGATGATGGTGGGATTACATTGATTCAATCTCACTATGTGGAAAAGATCTTGAGTCGCTTTGGCTATAGTGACTGCAAGCCCTCTCCAACACCATATGATGCAAGTGTGTTACTTCGAAAGAATCGAAGAATTGCTAGAGACCAATTGAAGTATTCTCATATTGTTGGCTCGATTATGTATTTAGCCAGTGCTACAAGACCTGACATCTCTTTTGCCGTTAGCAAACTGAGTCGGTTTGTCACAAAACCAGGAGCTGTGCATTGGAAAGCTCTAGAAAGAGTTTTGCATTATTTGAAAGGCACTGCGAATTATGGAATTCACTACACCGGGCACCCAAAGGTGCTTGAAGGGTATAGTGAGTCAAACTGGATCTCAGATGCTCATGAGATAAAGGCCATGAGAGGATATGTATTCACTCATGGAGGTGGCGCTGTTTCTTGGAAGTCTTGCAAGCAGACCATCTTAACGAGGTCAACAATGGAAACAGAACTCACAACACTAGATACAACTATGGTCGAAGCAGATTGGCTTCGTCGGCTCTTGAATGACTTGCCGATTGTTGAGAAACCTGTACCGGGTATCCTTATGAACTGCGACAATCAAACTGTGATCACGAAAGTGAGCAGATCAAAGGATAACATGAAGTCATCAAGACATGTTCAGAGAAGGTTAAAGTCTGTCAGGAAAATGAAAAACTCTGGAGTTATTGCATTGGATTATATCCAAACGTCTAAAAATCTGGCAGATCCTTTTACTAAGGGTCTATCACGTAATGTGATAGATAATGCATCAAGGGAGATGGGTATGAGACCCACAATATGAGTTGTTCACAGTGGTAACCTATTCTTTGTGATCGGAGATACCGTGAATTAGATGTGGAAGACAAGTTGTTGGTCAATTGAGAGGAGAGTATCCTTACTATTCACAATATCACTCCATGAAGATGCAATACTCTCCTAATCTGCATGGCAGGTTGATGTATATCTTAATGTGTTCTAAGTGGCTTATTTAGGTAGACATGTTATCCTGCAGAACATCTTTTGAAGAACACACCTATATGAGTCTGATTGTCAAACGTCGCAATCTATGAGAGTAGGGTTCTCTCTAGTAAACTCATGAAAGGTCACGGAGTATGACGCATAAGCTCCACCCGCGGGGAAGACCCACGGTAGCCACGTATCGGTAAAGGCTTTATGTGAAGCTAGATTCGCAGAAAACTTGCAGTTCAAGGCCTAGTCCACTGTTCAAGTTGCTTACTAGTGTAGCATAGAGTTCTAGGTGGAAGTTCAACTTAACAGTCTCCACTGCAGTACCGGTATATAAAACAGTATTTTGGAACCAAAGGCAAATTTTGTGTGCCTCTAGGATCTGGTGGGGGATTGCTGGAATTTTGTCTATTTTGGGCCTAGCCCAATAGCAGTTTCAGAAATTCCTAATAAATCCTAGAGGCCCACGCAGCCCATTCGTGCAAGGCAAGAGGTGGAACTAAAGTTTAGTCCCACATTGCTAGTTTGGTGGGAGTTGGACCTCCTTATAAGGGAGGTTCTTTCCCCAGTTGTACGAGCATGAGAACAAGAGGGATATCCACGCACGCTCCTCCTCTGCCGCCCGCCTCGCCATGCCACGCCTCGTCACAACGCGCCGCGGGTTGCGGGAATGAGCCGAGACGATATCTAAATTTTTGCCACGCACTACGGGTATACGAAAGGTCACACGGAAGCCGAAAAGATTTTTGCGAAAGTGGAGTTCGAATGCGAACGGTGCAGCCCTTCGGCTGCTGGCTGTTCGCTTCGCCTCCGTCTCTTCGTTTCGCCTCCCGTCGTTGCCCTCTCGCCTCCTTCTCTTGCGCCTATAAAAGGGAGGTCGCTCCTCCCAGAGAGACGCACCAGAACTACTCCTTTTCCTCGCCATCGGTTCCATCTCTGAGCTGCTGCTGTCTTCCTCATCCCGGCTTGCGGCGTGCACCGCACGTCGGGACAGTAGGCCTCCGAGACCGCACCTTTTGAGTCCAGTACAGAAGAAGGGTGATAAGGTTTTTGGGGAGCGCTCTGCGTGACTACTGGCTTCTTCATCACGGACTCCGATGACTACTTCCCCGACGATGACTTCTTCCCCGACGCCGACTACCTCAGTAACGACATGGCTGGAGAGGATGTTGACCCCAAGTCCAGTGCATCTGCTGCTGCTATCCCGTATGTGTTCTTCTTCTTTCTATCAGATGTCCTGCCACAGTTTCTCGTACTAGTACTTTCCCTACATGTGTTAGGTTCTACTCCATATATGCAACATGATCTAGTGTCTGTCCTAGATGTGTTCAGTTCAAGTTCATATATGCAAATGCTATTTACTTTTTCTCTGTGAGGTTGCATGACTTGCTTTATCGCAGCTATATTAGTCATGCTTTATCTAATATTTCTGTCAATAAAATCATTTGGTAAATTGCTCATATTTCCAACACCACTTTCGAGGCGACGGCGGGCGATGGCAGGATGGCGTGCGAGGACAGCGGCAGCGGCATTGCCCTAGATTGGTGTTGCAGTTTTCTCTCTCTAGTTTGGACTTGGACGATTATGGGGGAAGAAAATTAACGCGAGCACAAGATTGCATGTTGAAGTTATATATTGGTGTCACTCCATATCCGGATTCAGCTCCAATTTGCATTTTTTATACTGAATGTCCGAACTCAGCTCGAAATTGGCTGTTGCATACAGTGTTTTCGCGATTCTCCAAACCAGCCAACAAAGCGAGTTCCTTATTTTCTCCTCGCAGGCCATTTGAGGCCTGCGGTCGGCAATACTGGGCCGGTGAAGCTATCTATTCGGCTATAAAAAACAATTGAGAGAGAATATTCGGCCTGTAAGTGGGTGCATGAGTTACGAATCATCTATAATTGGACAGAGCTACACACAAAAAAAAGTTTAGAAAGAGCTTCTAAAAGAAAGTAAAACAAATAATTTGTTGAAGAAAAATATTTCATAATTTCATACAAGTTGGTTTTGGTAGCAACATATTATCATATAGAAATAATGGTCAATGGTCATAATTTGGAGACTATATATACATGTTAAAAAAATTAAGCGTCGTGTTTCTCTAATGATGTTTTTCAACCGAAGTAAGTAAACGAGACGATGAAATACCACATGTAAGATTTTATCTCGGATGCATGCCACTATGGACATTTTTTCCGTGTTTACCTTAACAAGTTGCTTTCTTTTTATTCCATTCAGTAAGATCCGACTAGAGACATTTTTCCCGTGGTCCACATCTTAACATTGCTCTAGTCCTTTCAATTACTAAGCTCCCTAGGGATAGAGGCCTATGAGAACTCCAATATTTTTCCTTGAAGTGGACCCCATCTGTAAGGGTCTAGTCGGATCTTGGCTCCTGCATTACACTATGGGAGCTGATACACTTTTATACAAATTCAATTTTTTTGGAATTTTAGATTTTTGTGAATTTTCAAAAACAGCTCACAAATTTTAAAATGCATTCATGAATTTAAAATGTTCCTAAATTAAAAATTCTTCACAATTATGAAAAAATACTCGGCAATGCTAAAAAAAAGTTCACGAGTTCATAATTGTTCACAGTAAGAACTCTGCAATTGACTAGATCTATCATGAATTAATGATCGTTGGAGAGAGGAATTGATGTATGTGTGTAGTCCATATATTACTAAATTCATGATTCTCGTATTTCTTGAGATCAGAAGGTGAAGAGAAAGCAGCTAGCAAAGCAAGTTTTCTTATTTTGGGGTTTTATTCTTGAGATCAAAAGGCGAAGAGAAAGCGAGTTTTGAACCGTAGGGACAATGCGATCATTATCTAGGTTTTGTTTTGTGAAAATCACTTAACCCCTAGAAGGCTCCCATCATTATGTCAAGAGAAAGTATATATAATGAGCAAATGATCCGTAGGATATTCAATAAGTTTTCGAGAACTTCAGCCATTAGAAATAATTGGTACAAGGGCTAGTTGACCTCATAAAGATTTTTTTGTTCCTGCATCTTCTAAGACTTGCCACCCAAAGTGGCCCTTAACCAGAGGTCGCTGTGTGACATTTTGTCATGTCAGGCTAATAAAGGTGGCAGCCCAGCTGAAATTTTATCATGCCAGTTTGTAACCCTTTGATCATAGAATGGGGCTCACTCTTTCCTTGGAATGCATTTCTATTTTTCTAGTTCTATCACGCCTTGTTTATTTTTCTTTTGAGATGCAGATCAATATGATGCATAGTTTAATGGCTTTTTTCATTTGTATGTTTGAACTTAAAAAGGTCTAAAATGCTATGGGCTTGCACATTCATGCAATTCGTCGCATAAACATAAAATAGACAGATGTATATAATGTGATCTTTGGTCATAGAATGGGGGTGGCAGAAACTTCTGTTATCTCAGCTCTGTCCCAATACCCATTGATGTCAATAAAAACGATTGTACCTTATACAGGAGATTATGATGTGCAATACGCATAAACTTAAAGTTATAGGCATTCACAGCACACGAACAGAGTGAGGTAAAAGGAATGTAGCAGTTTCAATAACTTTTTGCAACAACGTTCATCTGTTGATGTCGATGTCCCAATAACTTTCTCAGTTCCAGCCAAGCTGGAGCAAACTACGGCATAAAGGGAGTGACCTTACCTAAGGTAGAATACATACATTAAGATGATACAGCAAAATAACACATTTCAGTTCTGACGATTGAACATCACTTATAGAGCATTTTCCTTTCTTTCTCGAGAGCATCACTGGTTTAGTTTTCTCTTTTTGGAGAGCATCACTGATACTTGTAGAGCTAGTGTCACTGGTATGTGAGTTACAGGATTGGCTTCTCCATGAGGGACCGGCATGTAGTTGTGCACGGGATCCTCGTGAACCGGAGGTGGCACTGAAAATAAGAGCATGCCATCAGATAAATAACAAATCATGTGTATCAAATTATCAGATGGTTGCACAGCGTGGCACTGAACGTAGGAATGCCATTTATCACTTGAGCCAGAAGAGAAGACAAGCAAGCTAATCACATCAAGATGTCATCTGTTGTGCAAGGGTCGTTGTATGCAAGTATACTAATAGATGGAAACAACAGACATCACCAACCACCAATGAACCCCACACAGCGATTCTAAATTTCCAACAGCTACTACAAGATCCCTAAATAGCCAGTTGCAAGAACTTAATCTAGGAGTGGTGCTATAATCAACACGGGTACTAGAAGTCACCCACCTGGCTGTCTGTGTTATGCAGCTATATGTAGGCAGCATGGATTAATAGAACTCTCATATAGTTTATATTCATGTAAAGGGGATATAATCCATCAGCCACTAGTGCGTGCAATGGTCTACGTTATGTTAAACTCCATATTGTTAGGATATAGGAGTATGTTAATATATATACTTATCTCCTCTAATCTGTGCCCTAGTTGCATCCATATAAATACATCCCTAGGCCACCATGTTGGGTGCGCCGATCCAATCTATTTCCTCTCTGTTTCACATGGTATCGGGCCTACCCCTTTGATCGCACGATGGGCTCCCCTACAGCTTCCGCTTCCTCCTCCTCTGCCGTAACCACGCTCTCCCTGCCCGCCGCCTTCAATGGGCTGCCGGCTTCTGCCGTTCCCCCTCCCTCCGCCAGCATGATCACCGCCAAACTTACCACCTCCAATTTCCTCCTTTAGAAGGCTCCCCCTCTACGCATAGCCGGTGCCACGGGCTACGTCGATGGCTCTCTTCCGGCTCCTGCCAAGCTTCTCAACCCCGATGACAAGGGGGTTTGTGCGCCTAACCCGGAGTATGCCACCTGGTTCTGCCAGGATCAGATCGTCCTCAGCTATCTCCTTGCCTCTCTCTGACGAGGTATTGCAGCAGGTGCATCGGCTGGAAACTTCTCGTGCCATCAGGGCTCATGTCGAGGAGATGTACACCACCCACTGTCGCGCCAGCATCATTCAGATCAAACTGGACATGGCCATCTTCAGGAAGGGCACCCTCTCCACGGCGGATTACTTCGCCAAGATCCGCTCCAACGCCGACCAGCTCGCCGCTGTTGGCCGCCCCATGCACTAAGAAGACATCATCACCGCTGTCATCACCGGCCTCGATAGCGACTACAAGCCTCTCATCACGGCGTATACTACTCGTCCCGAGGGCATGACGCTTGGTGAGTTCTACTCCCACGCGATCTCCTTCGAACAACGTCGCGAGTACAACGTGGCACGTCTTCATCTCCAGCATGGCGGCTCCTCCGTCAACTACGTCGCCCGGGACCCCTACGACAACACCAACAACAACACCAATTGGGGCAAGGGCAACTACCGCGGCAAGAGACGCAGCAACTACGTAGATCGCGATGGCTACAACAACAATTCTCGTGGCGGTGAGCACGGGAACCGTGGTGGCGGCGGCTCGCGCCAACAAGGCGACTATGGCAGTGATCGCGATGACTACGGTGACCGCGGTGATAACCGCGTTCAGTGTCAGCTCTGCCGCTGCCCTAGGCACTACGCCTGGGAGTTCGGTCAGCGCTACAACCATGCGTTCCAACCGCAACAGTCCAAGATGGCTGGCCTTGCTGCTGCGTCTCCTCCCTCCATCCTAGGTGACCTGGCTTGGTTCACTGACACCGGGGCCACGAACCACATCATCGGCGATCTGGATCGCCTCACGATCCGGGAGAAGTATCCAGGCAGAGACCGCATCCACACAGCTGACGGATTAGGTTTGCACATAGCTCACCGTGGTCATGCAATTCTTCCTACCCCTTCTGCTAATCTTCAACTTCGCAATATCTTGCATGTTCCTAACGCTGACAAAAACCTTCTCTCTGTCAATCGCCTTGCTGTTGATAATCATGCTTATCTAAAGTATTACCCTACTCATTTTCTTATGAAGGATTTGATCACCAAGAAGGTTCTACTTCAAGGCAGATGTGAAAATAGGCTTTACCCCATTAGGCCATCATCTCATCATGCTCTATCTTCGGTTAGGTTGTCAGCAGAAGATTGGCACGCAAGGCTTGGCCACCCTTCCACTCAAGTCGTTCAACATGTTTTATCATCCAATAAAATAGCTTCTTCTAGTCGGTCTATGACCCATGTGTGTAATGCATGTCAACAAGGCAAAGCACACTAGCTTCCTTTTCCTAGATCCTCGAGTGTTTCTTCCTTCCCATTAGAACTTATTTTTTTGGATGTGTGGGGACCTGCCAAAACATCATCTGGTGGGTTCCAGTACTATGTCTCATTTATCGATGATTATAGTAAATTTGTGTGGATTTATCTTCTCAAGAGAAAATGTGATGTGTTTGATGCTTTTCGTGACTTCCTTGCTCATGTTGAACGCCTTTTATCTCACAAGATTTTATGTGTTCAATCCGACTGGGGTGGGGAGTACGAGAAGCTTAGCAACACGTTTTTTCGTCAACTTGGCATTATGCATCATGTATCTTGTCCACACACACACACACCAGCAAAATGGTTCTGCTGAAAGGAAGCACCATCACATTGTTGACATGGGGCTCTCTTTACTATCACATGCGTCTATGCCGTTACGGCTTTGGGATGAGGCCTATCTCTCGGCATGCTATCTTATTAATCGTCTACCTAGTCGTGTCATTGGCAACCTTAGTCCTATGAAAAAACTGTTCACCACCAAACCAGACTACATGTCGCTTCGTACGTTTGGTTGCGCTTGCGAGCCCAATATGCGTCCCTACAACACACAAAAACTCGCCTTTCGATCCCAACAATGTGTGTTCGTTGGCTACAACATTCGCCACAAAGGGTATAAATGTCTTCATCTACCCACAGCTCGTGTTTATATCTCTAGAGATGTCACGTTTGATGAAAAAGTTTTTCCTTTTGCCAACCCGTCTGCCTCTCCCATACCACCTCGCGTTGCCGAGCAAACCATCCTTTTATTCCTTCATGGCCACATGGACTATGGTATATCTGCTCTGTCTTCTAACCTGGATGCAGGCTCTCCTTCGGCGCAGAAGATCCCCGGTGTGCCAGGCGCTCCCGCTTCTACGGCAGATCCGGGCACATGATCCAGACCTGATCCGGCCTCGGATCGCCCAGCCGCGCCAGACGGCGACAGCGACGCGCCAGGCGATCATGGGGAGGCGCCCCATCCGTTGGCCCACGTGGAGGCCTTTGATGGCCCGGTCGCCACCCCGCACGCCCTGTCCCCCTCAGTGGCGGGGCCCGCCACTGGCCCGGCTCCCTCCGCGCCCGACACGCCACAGGTTGTTGCCCACGTGCCTGGCAGGCAGTCGGTGGGCCGGGCCGGTCCCGCGACAGACACGCCTGCGTTGCCTATTCCCTCCTTGGGATCGCCGCCAGATTCTCCTGCTACGTCTGCTGGCAACACGGGATCCTAGGAGGATCCGATTCCCTCCTCGGCTGTTGCTCCCGGATCCTCTGCTCTGGCACCTCCTGCCCATGCAATGGTCATGCGCACACGTGATCATACTCACAAACTTGCTCATCGTACGGATGGTACTGTCAACTATGATCCGTCCCACCGTGCGTTCCTGGTCTCCAGGGAACCCCGTGATCACCGTGAGGCCTATG